TTTGCAACAACATGGATGGACCTTGAGAGAATTATATTAAGTGAAACAAGTCATGCACAGAAAGAGAAATACCACATGTTCTCACTTATTGGTGGGAGCTAAAAATAAATAAAATTCACACACACAGACACACACACAAAAAAAAACCGGGGGGCAGGGGGAAGAAGACATAACAACTACAATTTTGACGTTGATACAACAAGCAAACAGAAAGGACATTGTTGGGAGGGAGGGGGGAGAGGCAGGAGGGTGGAAGGTTTCGGTAATGGGCCACAATAATCACAATAATCAACCACATTGTGTATCGACAAAATAAAATTAAGAAAAAAAAATAAAGTATTGTTCACAGCAAAAAAAGAATAATAATAATGGCATAAAACTAGAAATCAAAGGCATCCATATAGAAATGAAAGAAGTGAAATTGTCTCTGCTGATGACACAATGTTATATACAGAAAACCCTAAAGACTACAAACACACACACACAACACAATTGTTAGAACTAATAAATTAATACAGTAACGCTATAGGTTACAAAATCAACATGCAACAAAAATCAGTAGCATTTTATACATTAACAACAAACCATCTGAAAAAGAAATTAACAATTCCATTTATAATAGTATCAAAAAAATGAAATATTTAGGAGTAAATTTAACCAAGCAGGTGAAAGACCTGTACTCTGAACTATAAAACAATAATGAAAGAAATTGAAGAAGACACACTTAGTTAGAAAGATATCCTATTTTCATGGATCAAAAGAATTAGTATTATTTAAATGTCCATACTACATGAAATGATCTACAGATTCAATGCAATTCCTATCCAAATTCCAATGTCCTTTTTCACAGAAATTGGAAAAATTATTTTAAAATTCATATGTAACTAAAAAAGACCCAAATAGCTGAAGTGATCTTGAGCAAAAAGAACAAAGCTAGAGGCATCACACACTGATTTCAAAATACATTATCAAGCTATTGAAATCAAAACAGCATGATACTGGCATTAAAACAGACACATTGGCCAATGGAACAGGATAGACTGCCCAGAAATAAATGCAAGTATGTAGGGTAAATTGATTTTTGACAAAGGTGCCAAGAACCTACATTGGGGAAAGAACAGTCTCTTCAATAAATGGTGTTGGTAAAACTGGATGCCCCCATGCAGAAGAATGAAACTGGAAATATCTCAAACCATATTCAAAAATCAACCCAAAATGGACGAAAGACTTAAACGTAAGACCCAAAACTGTAAAACTACTAGAAGAAACATGAGGGGAAAATTCTACGACATTGGTCTGGGCAATGATTTCTAGGATAGGACTCCAAAAGCACAGGCAAAAAGTAAAAATAGGCAAATGGGATTGCATCAAACTAAAAAGCTTCTGCACAGCAAAGGAAACAATTAATACAGTGAAGAGACAGCCCACAGATTAGGAGAAAATATCTGCAAACTATACATCTGATAAGGAGCTAATATCCAAACTGTATAAGAAATTCAAACAACTCAATAGAAAGAAAACAAACAACTCTATTAAAAATGTGCAAGGGAGGGCCGGCCCAGTGGCGCACTGCAGAGTGCGCCACTTGGGAGCGCGGCGGCGCTCCCGCCGAGGGTTCGGATCCCATGTGGAGACTGGTTCCCACTCACTGGCTGAGCGCGGTGCGGGCACAACACCGAGGGTTGCGATCCCGTTGCCGGTCCCCGGTACGGGCGCGACACCGAGGGTTGCGATCCCGTTACCAGTCAGTAAAAAAGACAAAAAGAAAAAAAAAATGTGCAAGGGATATGAACAGACATTTATCAAAAGAAGAAATACAAATGGCCAACAGATATATGAAGAAATGTTCAACATTTAATCACCAGGGAAATGCAAATTAAAACCAGAATGAGATGTCACCTCACACTTGTTACAATGGTTACTACCAAAAAGATGAATAACAAGTGTTGGCAACGATGTGGAGGAAAGGGAACCCTTTACACTGTTGATGGGAATGTAAATTAGTACAGTCATTTTTGAAAATAGTATGGTTTCTCAAAAAACTATAGAATTACCATATGATCCAGCAATCCTACTTCTGGGAATATATCCAAAGGATTTGAAACTAGTATGTTAAAGAGATATTTGCACTTTCATGTTCATTTAAGCATCATTCACAATAGTCAAGATAGGGAAGCAATGTAAGTGTCTATCACTGGATGCACGGATAAAGAAAATTTGTTATATATACACAATGGAATACCATTCAGCCTTTAAAAAGAAGAAAATTCTGTAATTTGTGACAGCATGGATAAAACTAGAGAACATTATACTAAGTAAAATAATCCAGGCACAGAAAGACAAATACTATATGATCTCATTTATATGTGGAATCTAAAAAGTTGCTCTCATAGAAATAGAGAGTAGAAAGGTGGTTACCAGAGGCTGGGAGTAGTGGGAGATATGGACAAAAGGAAGATGTTGACCAAAGGGTACAAAATCTCAGATTGGAGAGATAAGATTTAGTGATATTGCACTGCATGGCGACCACAGTTAATAACTATGTATACTGTATATTTCAAAATTGCTAAAAGAATAGATTATTAACACTCCCACCACACACACAAAAATAAGTTGATGAGGTGACAGATATGTTAATTAGCTTACATGAATCTTTCTATAATGTATACAGAGATCAAAACATTATATTGTACCCCATAAATATACACAATTATTATTTGTCAATTAAAAATAAAGAAGTAAACAGCTAAAATATCAATAAAATAAACTTATGGGCAAATAAATTGAGGAACTCTCCCACATGGAATAGTATACAACAGTAAAAGAATGAACGCTAGCTAGTGAAATTAAGTGTATTAATTCATAGAAACATACTATGTTTAGAAACATAAAATGAAAATATTTTTATAACCATACATAAGAAGTAAAACTTTGAAAGTGAATAATAAATACAAAGTTTAGGATAATCATTATCTTTTCTTTGGGGAAAGAGCAGAAGGCCATAGGTAGTATCAGGCAGCAACATAGAAAATTTGGACCCATTCCAGTAGGAGGCCCTGCAATCTGGCTCTTATGTTTTTTTGACATGACCCCATTAGTCTTTGAAGGTTTCTTTGCTTTATGTCATAACAAATACTCCTGAATATCCTTCAGATTGCTTATACTCGTTCACTAATCAATTAGTGGCAACCATAGCAGCTGGAAAATGGTGGTGGGGGACAGGGGAGGGGGGACTCCTAGAAAGGAGAAAGCAAGAGAGAAGAAACCACAAAATCTGTGTATAAATTCTGTCCAAATCTTTGGCTGACCCCTAAAAGACACGTGCACAAGGTAGACTGAAAGCAACCCACCTAAGGACAGAAGAACTGAACTGAAATTTGTGCTGCCAGTTAAAGAAACAGAGTTCGCAGTTTGAATCATGTCTTAAAACATTTCCGAAACATAATAAAACATGCTTAACTTGATTTAGCCATTTCACAATATATACATATTTCAAAAGATCATGTTTTACATGATTATATACATACAATTTCATTTGTAAATTTAAATAAAGTAAAAAATCATGCTCAGTCATTCAGGTTGTATCACTAATCTTCTAGAAAATACATTTTTAAAAACCCATGCTGTTACAAACCAACTTTTTTTTGTTTGTTTTTGATAGCCAGAAGGAGGTTTTGTTTCCTAAGCACATGAATTTGCAAGCAGATAATAAACAAAAAGAGTCCATCGAGTATCATAAATCATAACAACAAACACCAACTGGTCAATGTGTTACTAAGGTAAAAAAAAAATTATTTTGATACATACCTGAATTACTTCATAAAGATGTACCTGAACACTCCCTAATAAGAGAGGATTTTTTTTTATATTGTCATATTGCATTAGTTCCAAGTGAATATTATTCCGTTCATCATCTTGACGCCTAGGAACCTCAATATCAAAATATATATTAAAAAAAGGATTACATTTTCAGTCTGAATTTCAAATATAATTTCTAAATAAATACATCCATAAACTATATTACATTATGTGCATACCTAGTGATTAGTTTTCATATGTCATCTTTTCAACCTCACAGCCACATATATCCTACTATCATCAAAAATCAGAATCTTGTTTATGTCTAACATCAATGATAGTCTTTTTGAAACATTCATTGCCTACATTCTCTTTCTAACTCTACACAGAAGTTCACCCTCAACATTCTACTGAAACTATACTATCAAAGGTAATCCAATATCCAATATAAAATCCAAATAATCCAGGGAATCCAAGTGCAGGTTTATCCAAATAACCATTATTAAAGGACATCTAATATCTTTTTTAGTCTCTGCTTTTTAACTTTTTGATAAAATACGTATACTATTTCTGAAACTAAAATTCTTTCCCAACCCTGAGCTCTGTAGTACAATACCATTATTATGTAACTTTTAAAATTTATACACTCTTGTGCTAAGTAGAAAACAGTCTCATGCCTCCCTAACTCCCAAGATTCTAGGTGCCTTTTTATGGTGTCTCTCCTCATGGTTGAGATCATAGAGTCTGTATGAGACTTCTTAATGTTATGCTTGTGACAGTCTTCCCAGAGAAATAAGAAAAAGGAAATTGAAGCCCTGTGTGCCAGCACCGCAGTTAAGAGAGCAGGCTCAGTTTTTCAGTAATTTGGCATCTAGATTATTGGAAACAGTCTATCTACTAGAAAAGTACAATGCTGAATAAAACATCAGAAATATCTTCTTAAAAGCATAAAAAGGTTGATAAAATGATAAGAAATAATCATTTAAAACTCCAGGTATTGGCAGACACTCTGGCAGGTAAACTAGACCCTAAAGTTTCATTTTTCCTGAGGGCATATCCCAATAAGGTCACTTACAACTGCAGTTTTTAAGGCCTTGAAAGACAAAGAAGGGAAAAGATAAGACACAGGGCATTTACAGAGAATCCTCACCCAGGCTTCCTCCCATAAAACTGAGAATCCAAAAGGATATGTCTTCAGTGAATGGGAAAACCTCCCATCCCATCTATAGAAGGCTCCAAGGAAAGTTGTACTGCTGAGCAGAATGGGGGGCAGGGGAAGGGAGAGGGGACTCACTGATAAGCTATAAACAAAAACCTGTTAGTGGAAACATAGCCTAGCTTTATATTCACCGGATGGTATAAAAAAAATTATATTATTTATATTTTGCCAAAATATAAATGAATAAACAGGACAACTTAAATTTTCAAAAAAGCCCAAACTCTCAAGTGTAGAATTTAAAGTGGTCCCAAACTGGTAGTGGTCTCAGGTGCTTCAGAAGAAAACACAAATTTCCCTGAAAGCTGCTACTTTCATCCCAGACCTCAAAGGAGTTCCACAAATAATTTTCCAAGGAAAATGAGTAGATCACAGTCAAAAATAACTAAACCAGCAAGAAAACAAAGCACCACGAATGAGAATCAGCAGAAACAGACCCACAAATACTTCAAATATGTAAACTTAAAGAGCTATGCTTACTATGTTTAAATGAATAAAAAACTAGCTGAAAATATACTCTTGGCACAAGGAAACTGTCAAAACTATTTAGCAAACCTGAACAAAAAACTAAATAAAATGTGTAGAAATAAAAACAATGTATGGACTCAACCCACAGATTAGATTCAGCTTAAGGGAATTAGTGAACTGTAATAAAGATCAGAGGAATTATCTGGAATGTAAGGCAGAGAGACAAAGTGAAAGGAAACATTTTTTTAAAAGGCTAAAGGACATGGAAGATAGTAAGAACATCTAAAATATGTTTTAAAAAGTTCCAGGAAATAAAATAAAGAAAATGGGCAGAGAGGCATATTTGGAAAAATAATAGCTAAGAATTTTCCAGAACTGATATACTTCAACAATCCAGTTTAAGCATTCAGTAAATCCTAACACAATAAACAGAAAGAAATCCAAATACAAACACACATACACAGACACATAGAAAAAGACATTATTGACAGGTGACTTCTCTTCCACAAATATGGAAGCCAGGAAACAGTGAGGTGATGCTTCAGAAAGTAACCGCAAATATACAATTCTATACTCAATGAAAATTCCATTTAAGAATGAGAATAAAATAAAGACATTTTCAGGCAAACTAAAACTGAATTTGTCACCAATTTACTCTCATTGGAAGAAATTTTAAAATAAATACTTTAGACAGAAGGTAAGTAACACCAGGAGGATAATCTGAGCTGTAAGAAAGGTTAAAATGGCAAATATGAAGGGAAACTAGAAAATATAGAATAAATTAAACAAATATAAATTATAGCTTAGGGGATTTAAAAATATAGAAAATACAAGACAACAATAACATATTAGTTGAGGGTGATAAATGGAATTAAAATTTCTAAGATCCTTGTTTTGCCCCGGAGAAGGATGAACGTTAAATTCTAGAATCAGGGCTGGCCCCGTGGCTCACTCAGGAGAGTGCGGCTCTGGTAGCACTGAGTCTGCGGGTTTGGATCCTATATTGGGATGGCCGGTGCGCTCGCTGGCTGAGCATGGTGCAGACCACACCATGCCAAGGGTTGCGATCCCTTTACCAGTCAAAAAAAAAAACAAAATTCTAGAACCGAGGACAAAAACTGAAATAGATCCCTCCCTAAACCAAGCCTCCATAGAATCAAGGTGATCTGCTAGGCATTAATTGTCTTCTAGAAAATAACTCAACACGTTTTAGAAGAAGATAATCAAAATTCTTGAGAACTTGCCAGTGAAGGTTAGGAAAACAATTTGTAAAGTAAAATAAATAGTATGGATTGTTTCTAGCAAAACTATGTCTTGTTTTGTTGTTGTTTTTTTAAATCACATGCTTAAAGAACTATACTCAATACCAAACACTTAAACAAAATGAAATCTGTAAAAAACATATAGCACATATAGAAAACGTGCTAGGATTTCACTAAAATTCAACTAATGTAGTAAAACTATGAGGAAACAGTTGGACTAATCAATGAATCCTGTAGTTGCATGGAATAGTGTTACTCATTTCAAAGAAAGATTTGAGATACATTTAAGATTCTAAGAAGCTTAACTTTAAACAGACACATAGCAAGTTCTGATGTGAGAGGCAGTTTAATAAAATGTGTGGTCTGAAGCCAGACTGCCAACATTCCCAACACCACTGCATGGTAGCTCTGTGACCTCAAAAAAATTCTTTAACTACATAGTACCTCAGTTTCCTCATTTGTAAAATAAGGATGATTATGAATGTCTGTATTATATATATATATAATATAATATATTCATATAAAGACTGAATAAGGTAATTCATGCAAAAAATGTTTAGAAAGAGTCTGTATAGGGCCGGCCCGGTGGCGCACTGCTACAGTGTGCCGCTTGTGAGCGCGGTGGCGCTCCCACCGAGGGTTCGGATCCCACATACAGACCGGTTCCCGCTCACTGGCTGAGTGAGGTGAGGGAGCAACACCGAGGGTTGCGATCCCGTTGCCGGTCCTGGTCCGGTACGGGTGCGACACTGAGGGTTGCGATCCGTTGCCGGACACGAAAAAAGACAAAAAGGGAAAAAAAAAAAAAAAAGAAAGAGTCTGTATAAAAGGAATAATGGAAAGAAGAGAAGGAATAGGAGCAGAGATAAATAAAAAGAAAGGGTGGAAGAGAGTAGATGGGAATGAAAGAGCAAGAGAGAAAAATATATATGTGATTAATACTCAAAACCACAGACAGTAACATCTCAGGGGAGAAGTCCACCAAGATTACGCATTTTGCATTAAGCTATTTATTAAAAATATCACTACAGTCCACAGTATAGAAATGGAATACAGTAAAATACCAAATAAAAGGCACTTCTTTTGTTTCTTTCCTCCCCATTTTTAAAAAAAGATATAATTTGTGTAGAATATTTGAAACTATAAACAGACATTCTTACATCTAGAAGAGAACTTTAACATTACCTGTACGGAGAAATACTTTATTTCACCAAACTTAATTGCAGGGTTCTTTTCATTGTTTTTGGACAGCAAGCTATGAAATTTTGTATATTTCACAACATTGTTTATAGAGATGCGAATGAATAAATTAGTGTAATGTAGTAAACTGACTGAAAATAGAATATTTAAGAAACAAGTTTTGTAGTAATTGAACAATAACATATTCAAATTAATCCATTGAACAATTCAGGACGAAACCTAAGAATCAACCAACTAGATATAGCTATCAAGAAGACATAGTAGTTCTAGAATATATTAAACAATAGAGAAAAAAGTCTTTTAAAATGGTGTTTTTGCCCATCACTGCTAGGCTAATATAAGTAGAAAAAGGAGGTTCATTCTTTCTTAGATCACTTATCATATTTTTATCTTCATATTTCCATCATAATTCCTTTCCAAATTTTCCATACATAAGTACTAATCTTAAGGCGACTAAATATTTAAATATATAGTTGTAATTTTTTTCTAAGCATAATTATGTAGAAATTTTAAAAATCAAAAAATATGTCACTTGTGAATAATTTCTTTCTAATTTTAACGCAATAGAACTTAGAGCAAAGTGTTCTCTCTAATTCACTTCATTATATACTTCATTTATACTACATTGGTCTGAAGTGTTATCTTTCATAGCACTCCATGCATGAAAACAATTTTGGTTCCCTGACTTAGCTGATTATCTTCAAAAATGTCTTTATATATAATTCTTTTCAAAAATTCTCTTTATATAAAAAAGAAACACCAAGTCTCCATAATGAGACTGGTTTTAAACATGATAAATCTAAAGATAGATAAGCATTCAACGTATTTAAAGGCACCAATACAAAATAAATTCTAAAAAGTTTAAGAAAGCACACTCCTTACTTACAAATAAATTAGCATTATCATCCAAGAAAATATATATATATATTTTTAACTTATATGGTGATTAAAGTAGATTATAGATAGCTGAAAATCTTCTGTTACTCCCACATCAAAATAAAAGTTTATTTCCCCTGTCCTTGAATCCAGGCTGGCCCTATGACTACTTTAACCAAAAAAATTCAATGGATGTGACTAAGGCTGGATCTAGGATGAAGAAGAGAGGCACTCGCCTATGGCACAAAATTTAAGGGGATACCAAAAACTTCAGTAAGGAAGATAAATAATATATTAACGTAATTTTTTAAAAAATCAAAATTAGTGAAGAAAAAAATACATAATGCAACTATACACAAAGAGAGAGAAGTACAACCATTTCAGCATGTCAGCTAAGTCCAACCTTCCAGGTATCCCCCACTAAAGCACCAGACATGTAAACAGGCCATTTCAGATATTCCAGTCCTTTTGAACTGCCAGACAACTGCAGCCAAGCTGTGATACCATGAAGCAGAAGCACCACATAGTGAATACACAGATAGTGATTGAAAATAAAATGGTTAATGTTTTAAGTCACTAAGGTTTGGAGTGGTTTGTATCGCAGCAATGGATAACTGAAACAATGAGATATGATTGATTATACTGTGATTCTTAAATCAAAAGAAAGGATACTCTTAGGCATAAAATGTCCACAATTCTTTATATGAACAGCCAGGCAGCCAACCTATAACAATCAAAACAAAAACACAGATAGTGAATGCACTTTTTAAAAAGTTAAATTTTCTTCCAATTTATATTGAACTATACATATTTTTTAAAAAGTAAAGCTCCACTTTGTTGGTATTTCTCATTAGAAATACTGTTTCTCATCATAAATATCTAGTTAATAGAAAAATATTAGAAAGCAGAAATACAGAAGAAAAACGGTTAAGGTGTGTTCAAAACAAATCTAAAATGAACAAGAAAACAAAGCAAACAAATTGTTCATTATTAACTTAAATCTGATCATCACTTTGAATTATTTTTATTTTATACTAGGTGAAAACTGATGAAATGTAGCACCCTGCATATAAAAACACAAACATGCTTTGTTTCAAATAAGCTCTTTTATCCAGTATCCTAAAACCACTTTATTCATTCAATAATAATTCACTGGCTATAACATGCAAGGGGCTGTGAAATATTCATTCTCTCTTGTACAAAGTTTTACTAAATATTAAAGAAAACTGTATTTTGTGCTTAATCATAAAATCGAAGGCAAAATAAATGCAGGAACATTTTAATTCTAATATGTGGTACTAGCCAGATATATTTAGCCACGTTTAATCTTAAAAACCAAGTAAAAAATGCAGAAATATTATATGAAACATTGTATATAATAGGAGGTAGAGAAGGATAAGAGATATTCTTATTTCACATCCACTAATTGTTCTAATAGTGTTCAGAAAATAAAGATAACTGTAAAAGAATGCCATGATATTTGACAGTTCTAAATATACATAGATCCTCATGTTCCATAGTCTAAAGCTCCCAGAATAGAATAACACTTTTTTTTGGTTCTCAACCTAGATATTAGTTCCTACGTGTGTGTGTGTGTGTGTGTGTGTGTGTTTGAGTGTAATCAGTATGTTTTCTTTTGTTTCTGAGGTTTTTGGGGGCAATGAGGGAGGGGTATGGGATCAATTTTCAAACTGTAGCTCAATCTAGCAATAAATATAATCACCTAAAGAATTCAATAAAAATACTGATTCCCAGGTCCCTCTCTCAGAGATTCTAAGTTTGCAGATCTTAGGTGGGTCCAAAGTCAATGCTTTAAAAAAAAAGTATTCCAGGTGATTCTGATATAACTATAATTGGGAACCCCTAGCACAGAAAACATTAATACTGTGAATCAGGATGCTTTCCACAATTTCAGTGATTATTACAATGCTTTTCTGATTCATAAAAATGAAAAATTCATGAATATATTATCAAAGAGGACCACTTTCTACACATAATTTTTTATTTCTAAATAATAAGCATCAACTACTCTTCATATTAAATAATAAATAATTTGTGCAGGTTTATTGAGGGCTAGTCACACATACCACATCCCCAAATGGCTCCAAAGTTGGTGTCTCAGGTACAACTTCCTGTTCTTCACTCTCAGACCCTTTAAGAGTTTTTCTCAGCATCTGCCATGTAAATAAACTAATTAAAGACTTCAGAAGGAAAAGAAGAACATAACCAGATAAAAGACTGATTTAATTTGACAATTATTTTATGAGTATCTTAGTATTAGGTATTCTAGGCAGTGGAAAATTAATATGACTAAGAAATTCAGTCCTCTTCTCAATCAGCTTATCAATAAGTTATCAGAAAAGTAAAAGGTACCAATTAAATATAAAATCATTAAATGAATCATGAAAGAAGAGAAAAATGAATAGTAGTAAGAACAATTGGTTCTTCATTTAAGAGACTGAACATATAATAGGACATCTTGAAAGGGTTATAAGAACAGAGCTCCAATTGGTCCTAGCATAAGAACCACCTGGGATCTGAATCTCTACTCACATACACATACATTAAAATGAGTAGTACAAATAAACCACACAAGACACATGCCTCCAGCATTACTAGGATAGAAAATGTCACAAACTTCGAATTTCCTATAAGTAGAGACAGAAAATACAAATTCCAACAGAGCACTCACTGGAACTGTCAGCACTATAAATCTATGGGAACAGAGAGCAAGGTAAGAGAATCTTAAGAGACTGTAGAAAAGAGCCGAAAGGAGTGGGGAACACAAAGGAAGCATAGAAAAAAATCATCCTAAGAGAAAGAGAAAGTTCAATATACTAAGTGCAAAAATTCTGACCATGGGTCTAGGAATTGGTAGGTCACAGCAATGGCTATAGAAAAGGGACCTGGGAAAAAAAAAAAAAAAGACCAGAAGTGGCTTCCTCAGAGGTACACTGTTCTGGGGTGAAGAAAACAAAGAAGAGGTGTCCCTTGTATACATGGCACTGAAGAAAAAAAGGATGTAAGAGGGAAAATTAAGGATACCAGAAAAACAAAAGAAGACCACAGGTCATGCCCATCCTTTCCCTCACTTCCTACCAATTACAACATCATCCATTTAAAGAAACTACCCTTCAATATACTGATAGAAGAGGGTACACTTGAAATGAGATAGAGAAAGAAGTATAGAGGGTCAGAGAAAAGTGGATGAATTGGAAGATAAGCAAACAAGGAATCCTTGAAGAAGAAAAACAATAGGAAAGAAGTAATATTTAAAATTATAATCCAATAAAAACATAGGCAACTAGAGAAAAATCTACATATTGATAGGACCCACTATGTATCTGGGAGAACAGTAAAACAATTGTAGAGTTAAGACTAAAACAAGGGAAAGGATATGGGTAGAAGAAGAGTGTGCAACATTACATGTTCTTCTGAAAAAGAAAGAATGCAACCCTCAAAACAGAGTGGAGCATGAAGTGAAAAAGAGAAAACTAGAATAGATCATAGATTTTTGAGTAAACAGCAGGTTGGAAATAAAGGATTCCAATTGAAATTGACATACCCAAGAGTAAAAAATTAAGTTTTTTAAAGGATGAGGGTTAAGGACCCTAGAAAGGTATAAACACAAAGATAGCCACTGGAGCAAAAATGTAAGCTTTGCTAAATACCAAAAGAAATTTTTAAAAGGAGCAAAAAAGATAAACCATATGAAAAAGACACAGTAAGTATAGCATAATACATTGAGACCAAACATATCAGTCACTTCAGTAAATGTTGATGGGTTAACACACACCATTAAAGGAAAAAGATGATGAAATCTTCTAATCCTTGATACACTGAGTGACCAACCATCCCAGTTGGCCCAGGACTGAGGAATTACCTAGGACTCTTGACTTTCAGTCCTAAAATCAGGATAGGCCGAGGCAAATCAGGGTGGTCATTCAACCTATTAATACAAGAGACACACCTAAAACAGTGATTCAAAAAGGCTAACACAGAGGAATACATAAAGATATACTATGCAAAGAGAAAACAGTAAGAAAGCAGAGAACTAGACTGTGATGTTAGAGTAGAATTCAGTCCAAAAACCACTAAGTGAGACAAATGAGAACATTTTTTTAATGCCAAAAGACATAATCTGCACTAAAGATATGTGTTATAAATTTACCCTGAGAATATACTTCCAACAAATGAAAATACTTATCACAAAGTTTTGCGATGAAATTATTTGTAATTGCAACATATTGCAAACTACCTAAAGGCCCCAAATAGGAAACTGGTTGAAATTATAGTATGTAGTTACAATGGAGTACTGTGCAGCTGTAAAAATAAAAAATGAGAAAGATTGCTATGAAATAATTGGGATTTACAGGATATATTGTTAAGTGAAAAAAGCAAATGCAACCTTTTGTGTTAGAAGTCAGAGGAGATAACAAAGCATACATGTATCTGAAGTAACACAGGAAGAATAAACCCAAAACTGGTTACCAAAAGGGAGCTAGAATGGGGTGGAGCAGAGAGAACAGGATGAAAGAGAACGTGACATTTCCCTGAGCATACCTTTTATATAATTTTAACTTTTGAAAGTGTGTTAATATTCTATGTATAAAAAATAAAATTAAGTCAATAAGCATGGGGAATAACTCTGAAACTGAATGCAAATAGGAATAAATGAACCTGACTATATTTCAAGTGAATAACAAAACCACACTGAAGGAAAAAACAAAAGAATGCAAAACTTTTCAATACTTAGTAAATATGATTTTTGTAGTAGTATGAATGTAGTGATTCTGAAACTATTTTATATGTACTGTAGGACTCAGCAATGTATGACTGTATTGATGCTATTGGGAGCCAAGGTTTCCACTGTGGAAGAAGGGAATACAAACATCAAATGGAAAAAATCAAGAAAGAGCCCTGTAGATGTGGATTGGAATTGGAAGTACAAACTCATGAATTCACAAGTCTATCTGCTGACCTATGAAGCAATGCTGCTTCAACAGCAACGAGCACCAATTTGCACCCATTTCTCGGGTTTCTAAATACCATTATCCACTAAAAGAAAGTTAAGAAATCCAAGGCTGAAAAGGGGAACATACAGATGAGCACAGAACATCTTTTGGGGCCAGAAAGGTTGTCCTCAAAATAATGTCCAAAAGTCACAGAAGCCACCAAAAAGGGATGCCCATTGACAAACTCTGGAACAGTTTGAATATCGAAATAAATAAGGAAAATAACTTATTATAATCCATTGAACAATCTGTACTGATAATAGGAAAAAAGAGAAAAAGAATGAATAAATGAAAGAGCTTTTCCTTTTAGAAGAATGTCAACTGGTAAAAATGGAAGGAGTGGTAGAGTTAAAAAGGTATGATTTTCCCACCAAAATAGTAAAGATTATTTGGGGAAAAATCACCAATTCAACTAAATTTAGGGGGAAAAGTTTGTTGGAATAAAAATATGGATATAGTCTCCTCCTCAAAAAAAAATTATATATAGTCTGAGAGTATCTCCCCACAGACTGCTTATTAGATGCAAGGAGAACGATAGTATCTATACACTTTGGCTGACTAATCAAAATTAACATTATCAATGAGCAGCAGATTCACATCATATGCCTCCAAACATATACTATGAAAAACACCCAACACCAAAGGAAACATAAGACAAACTCAAACTGAGGAATATTTTATAAAATCACTGGCATCTTTTCTTTAAAAATATTGAAATTATTAAAGACAAAGGAAGGGTGAGAAAATGCTCCTGTTTAAAAGAGACTAAAGAGATATGACAACTGCGTACACTGTGATCATGGACTAGATCATGTACTGTGGGGGGTGGAAATGCCATAAATGGCCTTATTGGGACAAAAAATAAATGAAGTGTAGATTAAAGTGCTATACCATTTTGATTCCCTTCTTATTTTCTTTTGTGTATATTTTTAAGATACTTTCTTAGCGATTACCATGGGGATTACAATTAACATACTAAATTCATGATAATCTAGTTTGAATTGATACCAACTTAGCTTTAATAGAATAACCAACTCTGCTCTTATATAGTTCCATCCCATCCTTATGTCGTTAGTGTCACGAATTACATCTTTAAAAACTGTGTGCCCATTAACATAGATTTACAATATTGTTTTTTCACAGTTGTCTACTAAATCATATCAAAATAAAAAGAAGAGTGACAAAGCAAAAATACGATAATTCTGGATTTTATATTTACCTTTGCAATTAACTTTACTGGAGTTCTTTATCTCTTTGTATGGCTTTGAGTTACTGTCTAGCATCTTTTTATTTCAACCTGAAGGACTCCCTTTAACATTTCTTGTAGGGCAGGTTTACTAACAATGAACTCCCTCAGGTGTTTTTATTGTTGTTTTTTAACTGGGATGTCTTAATTTCTCCATTTTTGAAGGATAGTTTTGCTGGTTATACAATTCATGGTTGAGTTTTTTTCTTTCAGCACTTTAAAAAATTTCATCCCATGGTTTTGGTTTTCGATGAGAAATCTGGTTTTAATCTTACTGAGGAGTCACTGTACATGACAAGTTGCTTTTATCTTGCTGCTTTCAAGACTGTCTTTAGCTGGCTTTTGACAATTTGATTATAATATGTCTCAGTGTGGAACTCTCTGCGTTTACCTTTCTTGGAGTTTGCTGAGATTCTTGGAGGTGTAGATTTTTTGATGTATATTTTATCAAATTTGGGAAGTTTGGGGCCATTATTTCTTCAAACAACCTTTCTGTCCTTTTCTCTCCTCTCCTTCTGGGATTCACATTAAACATACGATGGTATGCTAAAAGGTGTCCCACAGGTCTCTTAAGCTCTATTCATTTTTTTTCTTTCTGCTCCTCAGACTGGATAATTTCAAATGTCCTTGTGTTATCTCATCAAACCCATAGCTGGAATCTCCCCAAAAGCAGCAGCAGGGGAGTTCCTACAAAGGAGTGCCCCAAACCATCCCAAGATGGGGCAAGTTGAGATTCCAAAGAAAGAAGCACTAAATGCCAGGGTGATCAGTCTGAACATTTTTTAGGGGAACTTACAGAGTGCTGCAAAATATCCTCATGACAGACAGTGACAGAAAGAGTTGTTCTACCAACGTATCTCTGCAGTGAAGGGGTCAGGGTATTAAGTTTATACAAGGGTTTAAAGAATTTGGC